GAAAGCCCCCGACGTTACCGGTGTGGCCGGCCAGGCCTGGAGGAATTGGCCGTGAGCCCTCCCGGGGCCTCGGAGCGCTCCCCCGGCTGCCGGCAGTTCGCAGCGGGGGGAGGATGCTGGTGCCTACGGGCAGCTGCTCTGCCCCATTACAAAGACAATCCTTGAGTTTTTCTGGCCTGTTCCCGCTGTCCAAGGACTGATTTCGGTTCAGCAGAACCAGCTCCCCCTCTCCGGACCCCCCCGTGTGATAACACGGTAGCACAAGGACCCAGGCGCTGCAAGTCTCTGCTTACCTACACTGTAAAATAGAAAGAATTTCTACAGCTGAGGAGAAACAGCCCTTTGATCTCAGCGGTGCTCAAATCGGTGGTCACTAAATGGGGAAAGATAAAAACCGTGCCCGATTTTTAATCCCCCTTCTTGTGTAACTTGAATGTGTCGCGCATGCAGCTATGACGAGGCACTGCCAAAAGGTTTCAGGTTCAAACTGTCCTTCGGTCAGGTGTACGTTCTAATTACAGCACAGAAAAAGGCAGTAAGCACCAAGAAACCGAGTCCCCATAAAAGCTTTCATTGGGGTTTGTCCTTGCTGTGCAAATTCTGACATCAAGACCCCCTTTAACTAATTTATACAGCCAGGGAAGCAGTAGGAGGCAAGTCCTGAAGGATTTATTTACTTCTCCTTTCCCAAAACTATACCAACCTCTCTTTTCCTCTCTCTGAGCTCCTCAAGTTCAGTTCTATTTTAAACTTGTTCCACACAGAGCTGCCTTCCCAACTGTAAATGCACAGCATCCCTGCGCAACTATTCAAAAGCTGCTGCCAGGGAAGAGCAGCGTGTCCTTTTGGCTACCACCTCACACAACTTGGCAGCCAGGACGTGACCAGTAGACAGTGTCCTCTGGCCAGACACTTCTCAACACCAGCAGCGACTGGGGCAGAGCACTTTGGCCTGCAGATCACTGCTTGCTGGCCTCTGACCCACACGACCGGTAACTAAAGCACAAGCAAAAGTCAAAACCAGAGAAAACTTATTACGCTGCATCGCACTTTGCCCCGTGAGCTCGGAGGCACTACGTGAGCCTGTCAGAAAAGCCAGGTTTCAGTCGATCTGGTTTGCTGTGTTTAAAATACCAGGCAGTGCTGCAGTGCAAGCAGTCCTCATGAGCTCGCTGGGCAGTTACTGCTTTGGTACCAACTGCTGCTACGCAAAACAGGCGCCAGAGCCTCACATCACAGAGGTGGCATCTTCACATTCCTGTAACTCTTTGATTATTGCTCTAAGCCCCTTCCCACGTGAATGTGTATATTTGTACACATAAGCATGCATGCACATCTATACTACACAGAAATAATTTAAATTCCCTGCTGTCTGTCGTGCAGAGTCATAAAGATACTGCATGTGGAAAGAGATTGTCCGTTTGGTCTCAAAGAAACAATTAAAGAAAAAAATGTTGATTTCAGTGGGTAAAAGTCCATAATTCTCCAGCTGCATCTGTTTCCACAGTGCTACTGACAATGTTTTAAGTCACAGTGGGTTTTTTTCAGACCGAGACCCGCTTTAGTTCCACAGACCAACAGCTTTGCCATCCCGTTTAGATCTTACTGTATTTTATGGATATTTTTACACATGATGAACTGGGTTTAATGCCTTATAGTTAACTATGATTTCAGTAGCTTTTTATTTATAGCACCAACATCTTTTTCATGAAAATGTTGATGTCATATAGAGATTTTGAAAGTCACAGGATAAAGGCAGACAGCAGAAATCACAAGGAACTCAGAAGCTGGGAAGAAAAGCATTAACTGTGAGCTATGACATGAATGTTGTACAAGTTGTAAGCGTTTAAGATGAGCTCGTTCCTCCTTAAGTTTATCTGACAAAATTCACTAACGGTTTGTAAACTGTGGCTATTCTGACTCTAACACGTGGGTGCCATTATAATTCCCTCTTGCTTTATTTAGCCATTTTACACAAGGCACCAAAACGAAGGGGCTGAAAACAGGGAAGAGGCTACTGACTGCTTTACCGTTTGCGTGTAGCCAGCTCCCCCTGAAAACCAGAGAGTCTCCCTGCGTGGTGCATCCCTTAGGTCAAACTCTGCTCTTCCAGGCTGCTCGGGTTGGAAACTCCTCTCCTGCAAGCCTGTGAGGAGACTGCAGGTACCCTCACGCTGCACGCAGAGCTCTGGCAAAGGCTCAGGGACTGACAGTTCCTCGCGCTCAGAGATCACGGTTTCATGATCACAGAAGCAACGGGATTTTTTTTTTTTTTTTTTTTTTTTTT